TGCACAATGTTTCAGAATTTTCTCACCCCGTGGCGCTAGTATACACGTGAAATTTTCACGTATAAAATATCTCGAGATCCTGACCAAATAAAAGGTTACTGTCTTGTACAAAGTTGTTCAGGAGGTCAAGGTTTGGCTAGTGAACAGTAGTTCAAATTTTTCTCACTGCGCTGCGCTAGTATACACGTGCAATCCTCATATATGCTACAGCTCCAGATCCCGAACAGCTAGAAAATTACAGTGATCGGCACAGTTGTTTAGGAGATCAAAGCTTTTTTACTGGTGAACAGTAAATAGTTCAGAATATTTTCGGTATGTGGCGCTAGTGTGCATGTAAAATATTTGTATATGCTATAGCTTAAGGTCAGGAAGTAGCTGTCATCGTCAAAGTTGTACATGCGGCAAAGTTCTTCCGGATGATGAACATGCAAATGTGTTTTGTTCAAAGCTCTCTCATTTTACGTCCAATTTTTGATCTCCTTAGGTTATTTGAATGGTATGAATGGTAAAGCATAAGGGTTCTGCTTCTTCTTTCTTCTTCTTCGCATTTCAAGCTTATTGCATATCGCATATTAGCTTATTGCGTGCTCTCAACTTAGTGTTCTAGATGCACTTCCACAGTTATTAATTGAGAGCTTTCGATGCCTGTACCATTTTTGCATTGGTATAATTGTGTGGCAAGTCCAATCATACTTCTATGCCCAGGGAAGTCGAGAAATTTTCCAACCCGAAAAATTCCTAGACCGGACCGGGAATCGAACCCAGCCACCTCCAGCATGGTCTTGCTTTGTAGCTGCGCCTTTACCGACTGAGCTAAGGGAGGCCCCGGGTTCTGCTACTACTTTTAATTTATCTTTTTTTTCAATTCAATTCTGAGAAAATTAATCATGATTCTTCAGAGTAAATTTTGAAAAATAGTGTAACTTAAGGTGAACCTTTGGTATACAACATTTAAAAATGATATTGAGCAATTTGGCTCTTCGTATTTCGATTCAAAATCTTTCAAATGTTCTAAAAAGAACGAAAATTTGATGTTTTTAGGGGGTGTCCTTAAACTTATGATCGGGAGTGTACGGTTTTATAAATTTCTATATTTAACTGAGCAAAAGTGCCTCACTCTCTGAGTTAGTCTCGTTGTCCGTGTACATTTTTTTTTTGTTCTAGACCCCTCGATAAGACATTTTGAAATTAGTCTAAAGGAAATTGACTCTAAGCATTCATTTGGTTGAATTTTCAGTTATATTGATATTTTAAGATAATGTTTTCCATCTGAGATACGTGTTACCACTAATTTATCAGAAGTATACAAGCGGAACGAAAAGAAATCCAGAATATATTTGTCTTATCCCACTTAGGCTGATATAAATTGTATTTTTTATTTCTGAACTACTGTTCATCAGCCAAAAAATCTTTATCTCCTTAACAGCTTTACCACATACAGTAAATTTCTATCTGTCCAGGATCGCAAGATATTAAATATGCGAAGACTTCATGTATATCCAAGCACCGCGTAGTGAGAAAATTCTGTACTGTCGACCAAAGAAAAAGTTTTGATCTCCTGGACAACTTTGCCGATGACAGTTTAGCAGTCTCGAAATATATCTAATGCGAGAATTGCACGTGTATACAAGCGCAATGATGTGAAAAAAAAAAATTTCTGTCCACCAGCCAAAAGGCCTTGGCTCCCTGAACAACTTTGCCGAAGACAGTAACATTCTATTTGGTCAGAATCTCGTGATATTTTATATGTGAAAATGTCACGTGTATAGTAGCGCCGCTAAGGAAATTCTCAACTTTTTGTACTCCAAGCAATAGGCTTTGGCCTCCTGAACAACTTTATCGAAGACAGTAAGTTTCTATCTGATCAGGATTTCGAAACAAACCACATGCGAGAATTTGACGTGTATTCTAGCGCTACGTAGTGAGAAAATTTGAAACTACTGTCCACTAGCGAAATCTATCTGATCAGAATATTTTACATGCGAGAATTTAGTGCGTATACTAACGCCACGTAGTGTGAAAATTCTGAACTATTGTGCACCAAGCAATAGGCATTGACCTCATGAACAACTTTTTCGAAGACAGTAATGTACTACCTGTTCAGAATCTCGAGCTATAGCATACGCGAGAATTGTACACGTTTACTAGCGCCACGTGGTGAGAAAATTCTGGGCTTCTGTCCACCAGCCAAAAAATCTTGACCTCCGGAACAAGTTTGCCGAAAACATTAACTTTCTATCTGCTCAGGATCTCGAGCTATTGTATATGCGAGAGTTACATGTGTATACTAGCACCGAGTAGTGAGAAAAATCTGAACAACTGTCCACCAAGCAAAAAATCATGACTTCCTGAACAACTTTGCAAAAGACATTTACTCTCTATCTGGTCAGGATCTAGTGATGTATCACATGCGAGAACTTAGCATGTATACGAGCACTACTTAGTGAGAAGATTCTGAACTACTGTTCACCAGCAAAAAGGCTATGATCTCCTGAACAGCTTTGCCTAAGACAGTAACTTTCTATCTGGTCAGGATTTCGAGATATTTTATGTGAGAATTTCACGTGTATATTAGCGCCGTGTAGTGAGAAAGTTGTGAACTACTGTCCAAAAATACCAAAAATACTTGACTCCCTGAACAAGTTTGCCGAAGACAGTAGCTTTCTATCTGCTCAGGATCTTGAGCTATTGTATATGCGAAAATTGTACGTATATACTAGCGCCACGTAGTGAGAATTTTCTGAACTACTCCACCAACGAAAAGATCTTGACTTCCTGAAAAACTTTGCCCAAGACAGTAACTTTCTATCTGGTCAGAATCTCGAGATATTTTGTATGAGAATTTCACGTGCAGCGGCGCGTATTGAGAAAATTTTGAACTATTGTGCATCAAGAAATAGGCTTTGATCTCATCAACGACTTTGTCGACGACTGTAACTTTCTATCTGGTCATGATCTTGATATATATCACATGCGATAATTTCACATGTATTCTAGCGCTACGTAGTGAGAAAATTCGGAACTACTCTCCACCAGCAAAAAGGTTATGATCTCTAGAACAACTTTGCCAAATACAGTAACTTTCTACCTGTCAGGATCTCGAGATTTTCCATGTTGTAACCAATTAACTCAAATCCCACGTAGTACGGACACCGTTTACGCGGTTTCCATTCACATGTTCTCTATTATCCGCATTTTTTGGGGGTCAACTGTGATAAAAGTTTAGCTTGTTTAGTTAAAAACAAGTTTGTTAAGGCATACCAGTTGGTTTCATATCGATTGGTAGCTCGACTGCAAAATGGCAATGGAAAACTCACACTGTTGTACAAAGTACAACGCGCGAGTACTCGTGTTACAAAAGTTGGCGCGAGTAACGGAGGGTTAATGTTCGGCCGTTTCCCAGGCTAGGGAACCACCCCTACTTTTTCAGCATTCAAGAATCCGGTTCCCTGCGCATACAGGAGTAGCTTCATAGCAAATTGTTCTTCCTCATCACTGGATTCTGAGAAATACTCAAATAAAATATCCTCGTTCTTCATTTCAAAATTCTAGATTGATTTTAGAGTAGTTCCTAAATCCATTTTTCGATCAAAGAATCGATCAACTTTATTCGGTTTCTACCGCTATCTGAGCGATGGATTTTCAACATCGACACATGCAATAAAAAGCTCAAACATGGAACTGTTGATTGCAAGTTTCGGTATTGCAAATCCATCGCTCAGATCGCTGTAGAAAGTAAATAAAAATAATCGATTACTTGATCGACCAATGAAGATAGGACCTATTCTAAAATCAATCGAGAATTATTGTTCTATCCGGCAGGTAAATTTAAAAGAAACTCAAACAACAGCAAACAGCTGTCACTCTTTCAAAGTTCTTCCTGCAACGGTGATAGCTATCAGCATTAGCTACTAGCGGTGCGAAAATTAGAAGGTAAATTAACAACTATGACAGCAACGGCCGGTGCGTAAATCGATAGTTAACTAAAATAGCAAACCACCAAAAAGCTCTTAGAGCTCAATGAAAGAGCTCTTAGTATATACACTGGCCTAGTAGCTGGTCACTGTCCTAGTAGATATGACATGAAGAACATTGGTCGGGTTCAGAGTGATATCTGTCGTTTCTGTAATTTTGAACGTGAAACCTCGGAACATTTGCTCTGCAGTTGGGGTAGATCACAAGCGTAGATCTAAATTTCTTGGAAGTATTAGCTTACAACCTAGTGAAATTTGGTCCATATTATACCGGACTGGAAAAAGATGTGTCCAGGCAATTAGTCGTCCATTCGTACAAATTCCATGCAAATGCTTTAATTTCCGATAATTATATTACTAACGAATCGACTCTAGAATCCTCAGTATTTGTTAAAAAAAAAAATTGAAAAACATGAATTGCTGTAACAAATATTTAGAATATACTTAAAAAAAACTACCAATGTTACCCCGTTTTACGGTACTCGAATGATGTCCGTTTCTTAGCTTTCATGAGAATTAGTTTGAGATTTGAGCAACTATTTATTTATTTACAATTCAATCCGCTGCTACTAATGAAAAGTTCAATCAAACAGGTTTTTATTTTATTTTACTTATGCACAATTTGCAACTCACCGGTGGGTCGTGACCCATAGGTTGAGAAACGCTGTACCTGTTATACCGTATTTCCATTCGCACAACCAACCCAACAAAGTCGTACAACCAGCTGCGCACTGCCTTCTCTCTGTGTGTATGTTTGTGTGTGTGGTTGGGACCCATGATAGGAAATGTGTTTTCTCCACTGCTGCGAGGGAGGGCATCACTTGACGGACGGAAATGGTGGCTAACAATTACACAGTTTTCCTAGTACAGAGGCTTTGCATCGAGCTTTTCTACGTACATTGAAGCACATTCCACAATCAACCGCATTTATGCGCATGATACACATTCATAATATAGACAGAGCGGAATAGGAGTAACACCTAGATATCGGAAGCACACCAATTCTCTTCCTCGATCGATACTCACCTTGCGCGGGAGGTTCATGACCATCATCGCCGTCATGCTACTCTTGACATTTTTTTTTTCTACAGATCGCAAACAATCGTAAACTTGTCTGTACAAAGAAGAAGTATGTAGGCAGAAAGCTCGTCGGGCAGCAAGCGAGCTTTCACACATTGGCGCTGCGAACTCTTGAATGGGAAGCGATTTTGCTTTGTGGCAATATTGTACTTTTTTTTTACTGTACGATTAAACGTGATTTTGAACAAAATGCAGCTGAAAATAATGAAATTTTGGATCGTCTTTAAACTTCAAATGGTAAGGAAAACGAAAGTGAACGAAAAACAATTAGATAGTAGGCGGTGAGGTTCATGCAGCTACCGGATGCTTTAACGAAAACGAGAAAAATGGGGAGGAAAACATAAACAAAAAACAGAATGGTTCGCCGGGTTCACTCAACAGATGTCACACTAATCCTAGTGACCCTTGAATTTGTGTTGTGATGTTTTTTTTATTTGCTACATTCTATTTCGCGGAAAGAAATATGTGCACAAGAAGAAGCGACATTCCCCCGTGCCGAGTCGATCCGGGACGGGGGGCGCCGGGAAGTACGGCAATTTATCATCTAAGTATGTTTTGATTCGATAAAAAAGAAGTAGTAGTAGTAGTAGTAGCAGTAGTAGAAGGAGAAGTAGTTGAGTAGCAGAGTTGCAGTATGAAGAAAGTTTGACCTACTTTGATCTAAGATCAATTGGTGGCATATTTGGAAAATTTTACCTCGCATAAAATCGTCTATCGTATGAGCACGCTTTTCTATCAACCCTCGACAATTTTTTGCGTGCGTACTTTCATAAGACTGCATAAGTTTAGTGTGTTCGGGATCTACAATTGGAGAAAAAAACAAACAAACAAAATACGGAGAAGCACAAAAAACAGGGGGGAAGAAAAAGAAAACGAAGAAAAACCACACGAGGCACACGCACACGCACATCAAAAACACATGGTAGTAGGTAGGGTGGGGTGGTTCAAAGGCAGGTTCAAAAGGTACCAAAAACGAGAGAAAAAAGAGAACGAGAAGAAAAACAATCTGAAGTGAAAACGGAAATGCTTTCACGAAATCGAATTTTTTTGGGGGATGTGGAAAATCGAATGTTGTATGCAAGTGGGTGGTGAGTGCGGTGGTGGTCGCTTACAAGAAGTATGTTTTCGAATATGTATGAATGGTGCTTGTACGGAATACTTATGTTGTTGCATGCAAACTTGAAAGCGGCAGCCGGGTGGAATACGCGATTTGCAGGCAAACGGCCGATTGCGGTGGGGTGGTGCAGCAAATAAAGTAAAATGAAGATTATTTTGATTAATTTGGGACTACTGTTTTCGAAGACTGTCTAGCTTATGGGTGAGTAAGGACTGGATCGAAAATAAGTTGTAACCAACATTTTCCTTCCAAATGAGAAAGAAAAACATTTTTTTTTATAAAAAAAAGATCTTCGATTATGTGTGTCACGTCCTTCTTTAAAACTTAACAAAGAAAAATAAACCAAAAAATATTCTTTAATGGACTGGTATCACGTTAGATTTAGTTTCTCATATTAGATTTTTGACAGTGCATTCTCGTGTTTTTGAACGCATCGTTACAGTATTTTTTTTTTTACTATTTCAACGTTTCAGAACTCTTAACATCCATTTAAAGATGCTCTTTAAAATTGCCATTCAGCATGAGAAATCGGCATTCAATAGGTTGTAGTTTCGAACCAGTTGAATTAGGTTGCTTTCGACGGAAGTCTAAATTTCTCAGTTTTTCTATTTTTCAGCGAAAATGACGTTTATATTGTATTCTAGAGATTTATTTCCGTTCTACGGATTAATTTAAAGAAAAAAGAACTCTTTGTTTGTTCCAAATTCAAAATTAATTACATTCCATTTAAACCTACAGCTGTGTTCGATAAAATAACAGCGCATGCCGATTTTCATACAAAATGGTCAACTTTGACATGATGTAACTTTGTTAACTTATGATAATTTGAACTGAAACGTTCACCAAAGAACTACAAATATGTTCAATTTTACGATCACAAAATACTAAATTTTTGGTAGCACTTGCTTTTTTAATTTTTTTTTGCAAATCCCGTCAGATAACTTTCATGTCAGGATCGTGTGTTCTTTGATATTGCCTCCTACGGACATTTTTAAGGTGGATCAAGAGCTGAAGATCGTCGTCTATTATAATTGAATCAAATTCAACCTCGCATTTTGGTACTGAGGCAGCTCAGTGCCAAAATGCTTGGCAATCAAGTGTGCTATGCGCGCTGCAAACAGACGTCAACAGCAACGCTCGGTGGGTTGAATTCGTATTTTACGCAACCGTTAATTAGCGACCCAACATGATGTGTTTAGTACGAAATTGCGACAAAACTAAACAAGATAGAAAATTGGTGTCTAAGAGAGAGTTGTAGAACGCATTGAGAGGCATCTTTTGATTAGACAAAACAACACACTTTATTACGTATTTGTTTGAATAATAAGGAAAAAAACCCGTAGGAAAACATAATTTTTAAACTCGTTTATCCCTAAAATGTGTTTAAATGCAGCTTACTTAAAGCAGAAATGAAACTATTAAGTAGGAAATTAATCAAGCTGTCCATTGCAGTTTTGCACTAAATATCATAGTTTTCGAGTAAAAGCCTATTTATGGCTAGCATCCCTCCCCATGGACATGGAGGTTGGCAGTACTGAAGCAAAGGGTTATGTTTAATTTCTTTATATTTGCAACGATGATGATTTCCTATAGTGATACATATCACCTTCTTAATGCTTCAGTATGCCTCAAACGATTAATTCTTGGTTGTTAATAGAACTTCCTTGATGAAATCGGCTGCTTCATGCAGACTGAGCAATAATATCAGATTTGTTCTGTATACAGAGGAACTGGGAGGTCTTATTAGAAACTTCTCACAAATAAAGTAATGATCTTCTAGTAAATTTTTCATATAATTTTAATAATATTTTATTTTATTTAAGCATATTATTTTTGTTACAGTCAATTAGCATTAGCATACGATACAAGAGATTTAATATTACTTGCTCGTTTTTGCGTAAAATAATCAATATTTATTTTACTTGTAACTACCATTGAAAGTTTTTTTCAAGTTTTTTTAGTAGTCACGTTTTGTTTGTTGTTTCTTTCATGTAATTATCGTAAATAATAGTCATTCAATAATAGATAGTTCATCCATATATTCGTACTTTGACGCGAAACGCTGTGGATTATGAGATGCTCGATGACCCTGGAGGGATCGATTTTGCTTACTGAGCAGAAAATCATGAATTTAACCCCAAGTTCTTCCACAGCACAATAAATCGCCACCATCATTTGTTTATTTGATATTGAACATTCACCTCGGCAACTATTTGCATATCAAGCGAAAACGTAGTCCTGTATTGTCGTGAAGCGTTATGGTTCTGAGATGCTCGATGACCCTGGAGGGATCGGTTTTTGCTTACTGAGCAGAAAATCATGGGTTTAATCCCAATAAACAATACATACTTTTGGTTGCATCGCCAACTTGAGGTGAATCCTAACCGAATACCCTACCCAACCCTCCAACTCCGTAGCACTTATGAGGGTGTCGCTAAGTCGGTGGCCTCTCGTCAAGTAAGTACTACATCAACATTTCCTTCCCGATACCTAGTTATGGTAAAGATGGGCGAGGCCGGGAATAGCAACAGTCATGCTTCTGTTACTCTTGTTTAGATTGGAACCAATGTTTACTCCCCAGCATTATTTCTGAAAGTAGTCTAACTGAGAATTTCAGAAGAGACGTCAGTGCCGCTAGTATCCAAACTACGAAGTATATCATAACAACGCTAACGCTAAAAGCCAATTTATGGCTAGCATAGACCAAAACAGGAAAAGTTCAATAACTCAGTAATCTTTGAGATTTGATCATATGCGTAGAACAATGTTTTACTTAAAATATGATCTTCTATCGCTCCTTAAATTATTTGCACTAAGGAACCGAATAATTATAAATAAAGAACGTAAATTATTATGGCAATACAAAGACATTAGTTCAAGAAGACGAAGAAGACTAAGACACCCTTGATCTCCTTCCTCATTTACAGCTGGTATAATCAGTTTGACATATCGAAGTCCTACTATACCACTTGAAATCACTGAAATAGGGTCGATTTTTGATGATCGAGCTCCACATATGTTCGGTCCCAAGCTAATCGAACCCCTCATTTTATCTGTCAAACTTTCATAGCGAATCAAAACAAACATAGTGTAGTACTAGAATTTCGACTAGAATGGGGTACGTTAATCGTTTGCTTGGGACCAATAGGCTAGTCAAGTAGTGAGCCAAATTTAAATCGTTAGTTTCCTCCGGTTGGTGGTAGGCTGTGCGTTTCACAGAAGGGTATACATCAACATATCGATTTTGCTTTACCAAGCTCAATCTTTTCTAAATCAGGTCCTGATCAATTTACCAATATTTAAGGTCATTCGGTTGCGAATTTATACTGCACTGGCCCTTTCAAGTTTATGTGGGATTTACTATGGGAAAAGTGAACATTTTGTTCTCATCATTCTAGCGTTTTCCATAATTATTTACGGGTAAGCTTGCTGTCCCCAACAAACAATTCAGAGTCACTAATAAGCATATGGATTGAATAAATGCTGTACAACAGTGTACAATGCTGAATAAAACGGGTTGTCGAAAAAAAGCTCATTGAGTTCGATAGATGCACCTTTGTTCCGCTGTTGGCTCTGATCTGATTAATTTATTCATTAAAAGCTTTATAAGCTTTGGCTGTCTTCCCGATTCAACACCAGCAGTTTGATCTAATAATAAACTGAATAAATGTAATTTTCACATACATTGACGCTTTAATTCAACTGTTCACAATTGATTTAATAAAATGCTTTATTAGACGTCTAATAATTGTTTTCTAGCTAAATTATTAGATTCCATTGCATTGCTTTACAATATTGCTGAATAAAGATGAATACAGTCAGCATTATCTCAATTATACCACTATGCGACCATGTTTTAATCGTATGCAGTCTCACAACAAGACAAAATCAGTAGAGTAGTGGTTACCGTTTCTGATTTTCAAGTAGAAGGTCGCGAGTTCAATGCCAACCTCAACCATTTATTTTTATTTATGTTCTACGTCAAATTAATTTAAATCGCAATCATCGATCACATCAATCACGACATCGAATTAATTGATCTAGTTAAGAAAAATAACCCAGCATCCTTTCCTTAGAA